CATGACATTTTGATGTTTTTTTTTAATGCAGTCTGAAAGTTGAACAGTTGCAGTGATGCCGAGTCTTTGTAATACGTTGAAATCTGTAGTGTGTAGTGTGCCCAACCTTAATGACGTTCGAGGGGAAGGTATTAGATGAAAATGAGAAAAAACATAACGGTTTTTTCAGTAAAGTAGAAAAAGTCATTATCACTAATGTTATTGTTACAAAAATCAATAAACGGCTATAGTGCTTGGCACAAAACACTATTTGACAGGTGTTTGCAGTAAAGTGGAGCTCCTCTCCCCGCTCCCACACAAAACTCAAACCAATGTTTGATTGGAAGAAAAAAGATGGCAGAACCTGCAGGACAACTCATACACATGAGATATTAATGTGAATAATCACATTAACATCTTTCCTAAAGCATTTTCCTCTTTGTTTTACACACACAGTATTGTAAGGCTCTTAGTCTAATTGTAATCCATGTGCAAATTTAAATGTTGGCGACAGACGGTTAGATTTTTTTCTTACAGGAAAAATAAAAGAAGGGGAACCCAACACTGAGGAAAAAATCATAAAGCTTGGTAAAGTTTTATTGCTGTCATCCAGGAGTTCAAGCTAGATAAATAAACTTTGCACCAACTCCAACTCAGAGCAGAAAAGCACCAAGCATCTATTGTCCCATCGTATTCATTTAGCGGACAGGTGATTTGGTGTTGCCTAGCAACGATAAAAGCACAAAGACAAGTTTTGCAACCTGCAAGGTAACTAGGTGTAAAATCACCATATTATCCTGTGGCAGTTATCTCAAATGTGTTTTTATATGCGTTACTGCACAATTATTATTTATTGTGTAAAAAAGCAAATAAGTAAACATTTGTATTTTTATTAAACATAATATGAAGCTTATCAAGTGTTTCAAGTGTACTAAAGGAACCTCTGCTATTGCTGTTGGGTTTGCTAACAGCTGCAACAGATGTGAAACACTCCGAACCCTAACCCCTAACCCAAACCATTAACTTTTCGCAGGCCTGCCTAAACCTAACCACTTGAACCACAGCACATAAAAAAATAGTGATTTGTAATGAATGTACAAAAAACCATTCCCCCTGTTCGTCAGCCTTCAAATCAGGAAACACTTCTGTCATTCCACTTGGAAAAATAAGGGATAGAATCCTTCGGAAAACTTAGTCCAAAGTTTAAGTCAGCTTAAATTGCATATTGACCAATTTTGTATCTGTGAGTCCTGTCAGGTACCTTTTTAATTGTTAGAAAGTAGAAGCAGCAGGTATGCAGTAAAAATACTTGCAAGTGTAAATGTCCCAGTGCAGCTCCTGGCATCTCCAAATGACACAACCCACCTGCTCTACAAGCACACACACACTCCCATGCACACACACACTCCCATGCACACACACTGCAGCCTCCACCTGCCGTACCGAGGGGGGCTTACTCAGGGCTGAAACCATGTGCTCTGATCTCCCCGTCCTCTCCCCTGCGCACCCAGCACACTCTCCACACACACCTCCAAAATCCCCTCTTCCTGGTTGTGTTTGTCCACCCATCTGTCTTCAGATCACTCCCTCCCCCTCCTTCACAGTTTCATGCATCTCCTCCCTGAGAAGATAACAGTTTTGTTTTTTAATACATACTTTAAACACTCCACTTCGGCCGATTAGCGCATCGTTACCCGCATTTCCACGTCGCCATTACATCCCAGTGAGAGTCGTCTCCGGCGGGAGCTCATTATCGCCGGGCATGAAGTTGACTGCCAGGGTCCCGGCTGATTTGTCACATCCCAGTTCCCTTCTGCCACAGAGCCCAGCAGATTGGGGGTGTTGTTGAGTGGGGTGTGTGGAGGGGGGAGGATTGTCTAGAACTGCCTGCTCTGGGGAGCCTCGCAAAGTGTTTTTTTCCTAAGGCCTGTGCTTGTTACCGTCTTGTTTCTTGAAAGTCAGTCTTGTCGTCAAAGAGAAACGACCGCGAGTCACGTGTGTTGAGAACATCTCCATGTGGCGTCTGTCATGTCGCTGGTATTGTTTACAGTGATTCATGCAGTTTTTGTTTATGGCTGTTTTGTATTGTCAAATGGAAACAGTGTCCCGGCAGACATTCATCCACTTACAAGATGCATGAGATTAGCTGGAGACTGTGAGGAGAAGCAGCGAAGATTTATGAGTCAAACTGACATATTTCACCGTGTTCGCCTCATCAAGTGTGCAAATCAATTCATCCCGAAGCCTAACAATGGTTTTACTGAAGAGGTCTGAGCAAGCATTGAATTTCTCTGTGTTGTACATTAAAATTTAATCATTTAGCATTGCATTATATATAACCACAGGTCATGAGTTTAAGGATGAGCGTTGGATTGTACCACAGGCTTTCAGCTTATTTGAAAGTTTTTGAATTGATACATTCAGGATGGCCTTCATTCTTGATAAAAACACATTCAGAGGTAATTCATCTGTGCTCCTCACAAGTGGAATCACAAAGGCATGACTTCTTCCACATAAGGATTTTATTTAATGCAGCAGACTCACTTCAATTGAACAGGCTCACTCGAGTCCCTATTTGTACCGACACATTGAAGAGAACGTGAACCCGTACGTTGTGTGAAATGACCTAACCTAAGGAAATAAGGGCTAAATTAATTTAAATGACCAGGTGACGCCAAGTAGAGGATTATGAGAATCAAACTGCTTTTTATTTCCTTTTACCGACAGGTAAAATATAAATTAGATACTCATCCTACAGGCCGCCTAAAGGCCGCTACACACCAACCTGAGACCAAAGAACGCGTACCGAAGGCATCCCGACTTTTACGTCAAATACGTCGCCCGCCTACGAACACACCGCAAAGACTTCAGTCGACGAGTGGCCTCTGACGGCCTCTGACTCCCAAAATCGGGTTGGTGTGTCAGGGGCTTTAGATATACAAGAAGGTTGGACCCAGCTGGAACACCAACCAAATGTAGCGCCCTGTGGCCCAAATAGGTTGTTAGGTCAGGGTTAGGGTTAAATAAAACATGATCTCCCAGACGGATGCATCATGGCAAATTGAGCTTATACTTTTTAAACCCGCAGAACATTTATTTGAAGTTCTAGTTAAGTTTCCAATGGTTAAAGACAGAAAAACACTTCAATGTGTTTGAAAAACAACGCAAAAAAGATCTAATCTCCACTGTGACTTCATGCTGCTATCTCAAATATTGCGTTTGATTCGGTTTATTGGAAGGGGCTGTACCTTTACTGAAGGACAGCTCTCTCTACAAGTCAACAACTAGTTTGATAACACTCTCCGCGTATCTTCTGAGCTGACATGAAGCCTTCTTTTCTCGATGGCCGGGAATCACTTTTGGACTAGAGACTTGAGAGCAAAAGCAGCTTGTGAGAGGGAACGATGGAGAGGCAGGGAGTGAGTGTCAGAAAAGCAGAGGAGAGCAGGAACAGGGGATTTGAACATTCATCTGTCACTAATCCTGTTTATTATTCCTTCCCTCCGCTCGTCCGACACTATCCCACTTTCCCCTCTCCGTCTCATGTCTTTGTTTGGCGTTGTTGTTTCTCATTTCAGGTTTTTTTTCCCCTTTCCTGTACTGCATGCACTTTTTCTGCGTACATATCGTTTCTTCCTCCCAAAAGGCTCTCCTACTTTCCTTTTTCTTCCTATCTCCTTCCACTATCCACCCCTTTTTAAGATGGCTTTCATTAAAAGTGAACATCCAGGAGATCCAGATCTGCCAGGTGTCTGTGTGTAATTGACGCAGGCCTTGAGGTGTGATGTTTCAGCATTTCAGCAAACAAGCAGATTTTACCTAGCCTTGGGGATGGATGGATAGATGCATGTACAGTAAAGATGGATGGACATGGTGGGTAAATGAGCAGTGACAGCAATCATTCGGGAATGGATAGGGAATAGAATTGAGAAGAAGGGAAATTATTCACAGATGTTTCAGCTAAAGAGTTTGTGTAGTGCCCAGCTCTCTGGTTGGGATAACTTTCCTGCTAACAGAATATTAAATAATGCATTTGTTGAAAGGGCATCCAAAAAGCTTTCAGATTTAAGTTTCATCCTACCATTTCTATTTGTGATAATGATGGTGAACCAAGTTAATACTTATGGCATTGTTCTCATTGGATCTCATTGGTTCTCATTGGATAATTTATTTTGTGCTGCATAATATTTACTGTGCCATTTTATTTCCCCAATTCTGAGAAACTATGAACACTTAAAACCTCCTTCATGGCACAAGTCTAGTCTACACAAAGTTGTGTGACACTGTACACCGGTCATTGTTGATGCAGTAATCATGGCTAATAAGTATCCGGCTACTCAATGTACTACTTACTTTAGGGCAGAGGTTTTTTTATTCTGACACTATTGGAACCCCACGAGGACAAAAATCCCCAAATCTGTGGCTCAGAGATATCTGTAGGATCTACAACAGGAAGTAGAATGTTGCCATGGAGTCAGTGATTTACACTGGGCTACAACTTCAACCCTTTTTTTGTGCCTATTTTGTTTATATTTTTGACAAATTGGGATCATTACAGAAAATGCAATTAGAAAACAATTTTTTTCAATCATGTTCTCCTCCTCCCTTATAGATATAGAATAAATCATCAGATGAATCTATAATGACAAGCGTTATCTGTCACAGGCTTTTAAACTTTGTTATAAATATAAAACACACACACACACACACACACACACACACACACACACAGGCTATATTCAACGAGGTGTGTGTGTGTGTGTGTGTGTGTGTGTGTGTGTGTGATGTCTAATGTAACACATAACACTGTGTAGATCGGATATCTGGCAATCTTCTAATCCTTCCTTTATACTTTCAGCTTTAACCCCTGGTGCACTCACTGCTTACATGCAACTACACATCACACACACGCAGACAAAGTAATTACTTTAAGAAAATCACATAATACCTAATATCTCACAGGAGAAATAACTTGTGTGTGTGTCCTAGAGTGATTTACATAAGTCATGCTGAGGGCCAACATGTCTCCAATCTGCCTCTCTGCAGAGAGATGTGGGGGTGAAGACAGTCCCCGCCACACAGGTGGAACCAAGGCCACAGGAAAGTCAGATTAAAGGAGCAGTTCGACTCAAATCAAACAAAACCTGCTCTCTGTTAAGTCACCGTTAGTCATCTTTGTCAAAGTTGCTATGTAATGTGTGCAGGGTCAGATGAAAGTGTTCCTTCAAATTTTGTATTTGACTGATTTGTGCTAATGAACATTACACGTTTTACTTTCCCTCATTGTCAACATTTTTTTTTCTTGTACAATTGTTCTTTCTGCATTAATCTGGCTTTTTAGTATTTTAGCATCAGAGCATTTACTTCAGTAGCTTTGTTTAGAAATGCATTTTTGATGTCTTCATTTCATTTTGGGATAACATACTGTATATCCCGTCTGAATGTAATTAACCATGCAGTTCCATTTTGTGGGAACTTAATTTTTGAGGAGACAAGGATGATATGTCTGAAGAAAAAAGTGATATAAGTGATGAGATGGGATGGATGAAGTGGGGTTAAGAACACACACACACACACACACACACACACACACACACACACACACACACACACACACACACACACACACACACACACACACACACACACACACACACACACAGTGAGAAGGGTGCTGCAGGGAAGCCTCTGTCACATCTTAAATCCGCCTTATTGTCTGTCAGATATACTCTGCCTTCCAGCTCTGTCTTCATCCCTTCCTTACTTACTCCATCCTATCCTCTCTTACTGCTTCCTCCTCCCATTACTCACCCATTCCTCTCCCTCTATCTTCATTATTCATCTCCATCTTTTTGCCTTAACCCATACCTGTTCCAATTATTCCCTCAATCTTGTCTTATCAAATTTTAAATGTGTTTTTTGCATCCTTTACCCTCCTTCTTCCTTCCTCCCTCCTTTCATTCAGTGTCTATGTATATCCCCCCCTCTCTGTCACTATGGCTGTCTCTCATGAGTGCTGCCCCACAATTAAACATCAAAGTCTGGATTTGGGGAATCGAATGGCATGTGTCTTTAGTGATTTCCAGTCAAGTTAATGACTAAATTGAATAACAGTCTCTTTGCAAAACAACGTGTTCCCTCCCTGCGTGTCTCTGACGCCCCGCTGTGCTGAGTGGGCCGAGTCAAACTCTCTCATGCCTGCCATGTACCACCACGGGCTCTGTGAGCGCGGAAACACACATGCAAATTTAGCCTGTACGCACTCATGCCTGTTAATGTCCACAAGCACACTATGTGACTACTAAGTGATAACTGTTAAATTTCCCGAAATGTAACACCTATATTGTTTGAAAACCGCCATTGTTCGAAATCTTAAGCTGAAAAGAGGAACCTTTTTTGTTTTCTGTGTGATTCCTTGAACTTTCTTTGAATTGTCTTCTCTGTTGTCGTCAGAGCATAGTGTGAGTAGGAACAATGGCTCTGATGTTCTTCAATGTCAAGTAGCTTTGCTTCACAACCTTTTTTGAACTTGAAATACTTTATCATTGTATAACTTTATAATGATGTTGTGTTTTAAACAACAGCAGTCTTGTGGCTGTAGATGACGTTTTTAAGTTGCGTAGCAGGCTATTCAAAGAAGACGAAATCTTGAATAATGTGAGCAGCACCTGTCATTCCCCTACGCTTTCTCACCCATAGCCCTCTCTCTCACTTCTATCACTGTAAATGGTAAATCAAGCCAGAAAAGAAAATCTTTAAACATTTGAAAAAAATCAAAATGCAAAATGGATTCTGCTGAGAAAGCTGACCCCTAAGTAAGCATACATAGTGATTACATTACACTCTTCTACATTGCATTTTGAAACATTTCCCCAAGGATGTTTACTGATGAGGGGTAGGCATGAGGTCCAACCATATAAGGAGATAGATGTCAGGGAGAAGAAGTTAAGATATAAAGCCGTGGGGCAAACATTAAGCTAAATAGGCCTGAGTGCCTTCGCAAATGAGCATCTGTGTGTTAAACGTCAAACACAGAATAAACGGCACTTCTCAAATGTGTGTGTATGCAGATCGCCACGCTCCACTCCCCCAAACTGCCTCCCAGGCTGTTATTAGGGTCATTAAGTCATGAGTAGTTAATTAAATCCTGCAGAGGTGATGGCGGGTGGGTGTTTTCACTGCGTCGGAGCATGTAGTGATTAGCATGAGGGCCGTGATACACGTTAAGACGGACCTTGTTACAGTAATCCTGCTTAATTTGTATTTCCCGTTTTTTCTTACTCGAGAACCACAGTGTTTCTTCGCCTCCTCCTCAGTCTACTTGGTTAGCGTGTGATTAAGTCCTAAATAAGCAAATTATAACTTACTCACTCATATTGACAGATCCACAGAGAGGCTCCACCACTCTCTGTCGAGCAGGAAACAACACACACACACACACACACACACACACACACACACACACACACACACACACACACACACACACAGAAAACTTAAGACGTGAATTATTGAATAGACCAAAACAGCGGTTTGACTGCATGCCAAAAACATGATATGATGCAGGTTTACCTAAGGTTAATAAGTTGATAGAATTTAGTATTAGTAAAACACATTTTTGGTTGTTTTCAAAAAGTACTATTGATACTGAGTCCTTCCGTCTATTTCTAAACGCGTCCTCTCCCTCCGCTGCTGAACTTCAGGTTACCTTAGCTAGTTATTTAGTTTTTTTTTTTAAATCCCCCCTCTCACACATAGAAGGCAGCCTCCCTCCTGGCAGCAGGTAATGTCCTCCTAACTCGGAAAGTGAGGGGGGAGAACTGAAGAGGGAGGAAGAGAGACAATGGAGTAATATGTCAAGAGGAGACAGACTAGGGAGTAGGAGGAGAAGGGAAATGGACGGAGAGACGTAATGAGGGGTAGAGATGAAGAAGAGAGAGAATGAGGGGGAAAAGAGAAAAAAAAGAGGCAAGCATGGGTGCCTGGCAGCCCTTGGCAGAGGCTTTCAATGATTCATGGACTTACTCCAGTGATATCAGTGGGCCTCTGTTAGTGAGACACACACACACACACACACACACACACACACACACACACACACACACACACACACACACACACACACACTGTGATACATGCAAGCGAAGAGCTGTGCATTGCTGTTTGTGTTAAATCTTTAAATGCATTTTAAAGTCTGAAGTTTGACTTTTCCTCTTGTCCTTAAGAAAGAGGTGACGCCAGTTACTGAGGGCTTTGTGTGGGTGTGTGAAATGAAAGTAGAAATGGTTTGAACACTGTTGTTTTTCTCCCCGTGTGTTGCCTGAAGACGTGCCGGGGGATGGAGCGCTCTAACACAAACATCTGTTTTCTCCTTTTTTCTTTTTTTTTTCAAAACCCATAACAAATACCAGCCCGGCACATTAGCAGAATCTTTAATATGCGTCACACACGTCTCCTCCTCTAACACAAATCACTCTCCCCATTGTAATCTCTTTACCTGATAACAAATCTGAATACTGAAGCAGGGATATTATCCGTGGAATTACATTCAGTTAGTCTGGGGTTTGCTCGACAAACACAGGGTGGGTCTCTTACTGAGAGAAGCTACGGTCAGTTCGGTGCGAGGGATAATCTCTTTTTAGCAACTGTGATGGAGACGCCTACAGTCGGCATGGGGACGTTTTTCTGGCACGCCGAAGAGGCTTGCTGCAAAATGAGATACAAACCATTTGACAAAGAGTGACGCCTTCTCTTACCGAATGATTGATGTCACCAAATTAAAGAAGCTGCGGTACTTTCAAGACGGTGCTGTAATCCTCGCCTGACAAAATGATAGACTGGATCTTCATTGTTTTAGGTATACAGGATGACAAACTTGAGGTTTTTTCAGTACAAAATGAGAAACGCAGCTTCTCAAAAGATTAAAAAGAAAGTTATAATTTGAAAGTATATTTTCACAAGTTTTGACAGGAACTGAAAAGCAACATTGATCAATCACCACATGTTTGAACAAGCATTAAAGGACTGTGACTGTTTTATTCCATTGCCCACTAACAGCTTATACTTAAAAGTATTGCAAACCATTCTCTGAAGCATACCAATCTGCTTTTAGAGTGATTCCAAACCTTCCAGGTAACCACTGGTTCAATCAGTTTCAGAGCCTTATGACATTTGTACTGCAGCGTCACAGAAATAGGATGCTGGTGCATCATGGGACGGCTGTGGCTTTGGATAAAGAGCCATTTAATTTTCGATCTGTTGCCCCTCAAGTCTGCGAAGCCATGACCATCAGTGTTTGAATTTGTGTGTGAATGTTGAATATGATAAAAATGCCCTTTGAGTGGTTGAAAGAGAAGAAAGCACTTTATGAATGCAGGATTATTGAATGCACCATCAAACAGTCTCTGCTTCTACCAAACTGCACCACCGTGCATTGGTCGCGTTCACACCGTTCAAACATCAAGGCTGAGATTGTCGTTTTTGCTACATTTCTAGAAAGTGTTGATATACTCATTTTGAAGGCTTCAGTTAGTGATGCAGTTAATCTGTTGATTTGAACTGCAAGGTGTTTCTTATGTTAAGACTCTCAGGTGGATAGAATATTAGAAAAACCTGAAAGTAAAATGCAGTTCTCTCTCTGATTAACATGTTGCTACAACTGCCTTGCAGAGTTTTCTCATGCAAATAAAACATTCGGTATAACTCACATACAACTATCTGTGGCCTTAGGGTCTAACAAACACGGTAAATGCATACAATTTCTCCTAAAACATTTGTAAAGCCATTGTTTTTAAAGTCATGTGACTTGCTTGTTGACTGGCGAACAGTCTTCTTCTTCTCTGCCCTTGCTGGAACATCAATGCGATGGACTCCACATGCTACCTTTAGGTCAAGGCCCCTCAGACTGTTTGAATGAGCTTAGGATCATGAAGGTTAGCTAAAGTTAATAGACCTTGGATAGGAAAACAATGTTGGCTTCTTTACCTTGGAAAAAAGAGAGTTCTTATCTCAGTAGAGCTTTCTTAGATAAGAAGAAGGAAACATTTTGATATTGGAGACCAATAGCTAGATTGATTGCCATCAAAGTTAAAGAAATCAGAGGAACATCATCAGGTAGTTTAAGCACTTGAACAGATGCTTTCCTTTTGAAGGTCTCAACAAAGAAAAGTTAAAGAAGAAAAGAGTCTACACAAGTCGGGCAAGTTTTTATAAATGTTAAGTAGTGTCCGTTGGTCTTTATGGTCTCTCCTCATTTGCTCTCTAGTCATCCAAACATTCACACGGAGAGAATCGGGAGAATCAACCGCACCTCCAAGCTCATTTCTTTTTAATTGAGATGTCCACGTGAAAACTGACATGAATATTACATTCCACAAGCCCTGTGCTAAGGCCAGTCTAAATGTTTTAATATTCCCAGTGTAAATTATTGAGATTTTGTCCATGGGCAGCATCAGATCATTCGTAAGAAATGTATTCTCTGATGTTATGGAAGTGGGAGGATTTTTAATCGGATGCACTGTCAAAATAGGACAGGATTTCCCATGATGCACTACTGCCACATGTGCTTGACCACCCTCCCTGAGCTGAAGTTCTCATTTTTAGCTTGGAAAGGGACTTACGTGTGTGGAAGGTGTTTATTTCTATCTTCAAACCTGTCTTTCCGTCTCAAAAGTCCTCAAGCATGTCAGACACACAGACACTCACTCCGGAAATTATTAAAAAAATCCTCATCTGATGTTCCACTGAGCACAGATGCGTGGAGCAGCGGCCAGAGCGATAAAGTTGGCGTTTCGAGTGACTGCACTCGGCAATTTAAAGCCGGTTGTGTGGCAGTGGCGGCGGACGTCGTCGTTGCACACACACGTGCGGCGTGTTGGAAAGGAAGATGGATCGGAGTACAGATTGTAAGTGACATGTTAATTTCTTCTCCGTCACTCACGATACGAGGCGTCCGCTATCAAAGTAAAGGGACGCGAGCCCCAGCCATCAAGGCTCCTCTTCTTCTTCTCTTCTTTTCTCATTTCTCCCTGATTCTTCTCTCGTCTTCCTGTCGTGGAGCGTTCAAGGGCTGACTGTGATCAAGGAGAAGTTTAATGTCGCTTTCAGCTCACCCGCCCTCCTTCTAGGGATCTGTTTGATTCCTCCCCTCGCCCTTCAGTACATGACTACTCTTCAGAAGACCCCCTGGAAGCTTCTCACCTTGAAGGTCAAACCACGAGTTAAGACACTTGAAAGGAAGAAGATGTGTGTGTGGGATGCTAAAGAAGAGTGAGAAGTCACACTATGTTTTGACTTCCTTGTGTGTTTCATTATTTACCAGCAAAGGCAGCAACTTCAGGAAGTCACCATTAAAATATCGCAATAAAGTCCTATTAAGGAAATGAAAACTGTCATTTTTTCAGGCAATGGAACGAAGATAGCTTACAGAGCAAGATTGCATACAGTAAATGCTACTGTAGTGTAAGTGCAGAAAAACTGCAATCACAAATTATTTTAGACACTATCAAAAACTGACTCATCATGACTGTCCAGTTGAAACAACAGTCTGCAAAAATGTAACATTATAAACTTCATCAAAGTTTTTGATACAACAACCTGTAAATGCCGCGACATCATCATTTTGAAACATTTTACTTTTGCTGTGTTTGCGGTTTGTTTGCTGTAGTTTCAGTGTTTTGAGAATATCTTTTTAGAGCTCACTATTATGCGCATTTACAGGTTCATATTGTATTCTGTGAGATGTTTCCATGCTTTAATGTTCAAGAAGGTCTTTACTTGTCTCATACTGCCTGTGCTGCAGCACCTCTTTTCACCCTCTGTCTGAAACCAGAGCCCAGTCTGCTCTGATTGGTTAGCTGGCCAGCTCCCTTGATGATGATTGGTCAACTGCTCACAGATGTCCCGCCCCCTGACCCGTCACGTACATTGTGTTACAGCACTATCAAATATAAGCGTGACATAGTGATGTCACTATGTTACAGAAGTAAACAAAGGAGTCCAATGGAGGCGTTTCAGGCAGGGGGGGAATGGGTGAGAGAGAAATTCCCACAGAGAACACACTAAAGGAATCTTTGTGTTGAGAGGGTTGCGAGTGTTTCGTTTATGAGCACATTAACACATTTTCCACGAAGCCTGAAGTGTTGTAGGTTGTTTACTATGTGTGCTGTTTGGTTGTGAGTTCTTCTGTTTACTGTTACTTCACTCAAATCCCATTTCAATGAGCTGCAATATTATAGTAAAGGTTAACAGCCAGAGTCGAAGAGAAACGCATAAGATGTTCACTTGATGTTGTCTTTACTGATGGTGAATGGACTAACCATTTATCTTCCCGTTGTGTGTGTGTGTTTGTCTGCAGGCAGCCCTGGTACTACGGCTGGGGCTTCAACCTGCCTCGGGGTCAGGCTCTGCTGGACAAGTGGAACCAAATCCCTGACAACACAGACATCCTGGTCACACACTGCCCCCCACTGGGTAAGACACACATTACACTGAACACACACGCACACACAAACACACACACATACGCACAAACACACACACCGCTGGCAATCACACTAGCACTGCCAGATTTAGAAGCCGCCCTTTACATTTTCAACTGATTGGCTCAGAGTAAATTGCTTTTGTTTGCTTAAACTAGAGGGGAATAGTGGGATTTTGGTGAGATTATGACCCTCCTGGCCTAAATCATGTCTCATGGCATTTCGTGTTATAGTCAAGATTTTAAAAGCAATGTAAATAATAACAAATTAGAAGGAAAAAAAGATTTAAAAAATACAGATTTCAGTATTCTGAGGCCCTGAGCCCCATTTCTTTTCCTCGTGGACAGCAAAAAAAGTCCGACATTGAACCATTTAAAATAAAAACAATAATTGTGGCTTGATATTAAGTAAGAAAATGTGTTTATGAACCACACAGCTTCCGTTCGTCCAAGACCCGACCGGACAAAAAGACGTGGTGCAGGCACGAAACACACTACCAATAGAAATACATGGCTTTTAAAATCGTTCTGTGTGACACGAAAAAAATGGGAAAATTGTGTTGGTGAACACGAATCAATAGATTAAATACATTTTGTGGCTATAACACAAAATGCCATGAGACTGGGTTGAAATTACAGGGGGGTTGCATATATATATATTGTGGGTATTTTTCACCACTATAAACTGATGGATCAATTGACTCCACAAAAGTGGCAGTTCCAAAGCAATTGACCGCAGTGAATCCAGCAAGATACAGTATACAAGTTACATATCATTGGCATGATCTTCACCTATGATATATTTGTTTAACTCCAGCCTGCTGCATCTGTTAGATAAATAAACTTCTGTTTGGGGCAGATTGCGTCACATCTGTTCCCGACCAGTAAATCTGGCTCTCAGTCCTTTATTTATTTAGGTATGTATTTATTGATCTGCACGTAGACACATTTTAAATATATAGAGTTTAGAAAGAATGTCACCAGCCTATAAAACATGTTTTTGTCACGTTTTTATATTTTTTCATACAGTCAAAGGTCCCTAGCTGGATTGGACCTGACTTCATTGCAAATAAAGAAAAACATATTTTTTGTATTACTTTTATTTAGATACTTACATGTGAACTGACCTTCACTGCACATGTTTGTATAGTGTTTGAGTTTGTTGAAACCAGCTCTCACCCTACCATCAAGTACACATTTTAATATCACTTCAGGGAAAGTGCTCTTAGTTATTTTGGTGTTTCTCTCGATATGTGTAAAGACCTTGGTCCAAGTTCTCATTACACTACAGACTTGTTCTGAGGTGTATTCTTTTCTCTTCTTAAGTAAGTATAAGACATATTCTTCATCAACTTTATTGCAGATTTCCTCAACACTGTAAATGCTTGATTTTCTTTAAAAATATCAAAATGGGTTGTCGGTCCAAGTCCCGATCAATCCAAAAATACGGAATTGAGGTTACATCGTGGGCACTGTTGGGCTGTATTTCTGACCTATTTGTGTAATTGTCAAAAAGGTGATTTTATATTGTTGAGTAATTGGTAATGTAATAAATTCTCACAGCCGGTCACAAACACACTTCACCTGTAGAGTCTCCTGTGCCATCACCTTTCACATTTTTCGTCCCCACACAAACAAATGTCGCAAGAGTTTGACAAACACAGATGCTGACTCGCAATCTAACTGACATCCTATAGAGACACAGGGGCACTCACTGCTCTCTCTCCCTAACCCTCACTCTCCCACACACACTTTCACACCTCATCTCCTTCTGCATCTGTGGTGTTCAGACGAGTGTGTGTGATTGATTTCTGTGTCTGCGTCTCGGCTGCAAACACGGCCGTTTATTTTCCATTCAGCTTAGCGAAGTGTCTCCAGCTATCTGCTCGTAATCCACTGGCATATGGAGCGGCAACAGCAGGCTACTAATGCATGAGACACACACACACACACACACACACACACACACACACACACACACACACACACACACATATTCAGAGCAAGATTGCAGGAATGGCATGAGAAAGAAAGAGGGATAAAGGGTATGGACCACAAAAGTGTGGATAATAAAGAGGATTGTTTAACGCGCTAGAGGTCAAGAAAAGACATCCTTTTTTAAAATGTTTTTTTAAAAGAGTGTGAAACGAACATGGCCCAGAAGGTGACGGAAAAATAAGTGTTAGCAAGACTTGTTTCGCACTGCAGCAAAAAGCTCTCGTCTTTTATGAGGCGCGATAAAACGGCAGATCGGCAGCTAGAAAGGAAAAATATGGCCTCTTTATCTGGCTGTGAGGAAGAAGTTAACAGTAAAGAGGGAAAGAGAGCAAGTGAGACAAAAGAGGAAAACAGGCTCCGTGCCCAAAGCAGCAGCTGCTTTGAAAGAAACGGCACATTAGAGCAAAATACCCCGAGACGCAAAAAGCCCTCGTAACTTCTCACGGCGCTTCCATCATCTCCTAAGGCTTGTAAAGAATTCTGAAGGCGTTTCATACCTAGACTGATACTACGAGTATGTTTTTTTTTTTTTACAAGTAGATACATTTAGAGGACAAAGAAGTCAGACTGTATTACTTTACCATCATGACTGATTCACTGCCAGCCTACACAGAAGTTTTATTTCTGTGTTGAGTTTAAGAGGATCCATTAACTGTGCTGTGAGTGAGAGTTTGAGCACTTTGTTTGGTGATAAAAAAAAGAATGATAATCTTAGAGATCCCTAGAGAGACTCTTCCCTTTCTCTTTTTTTGCCCCTGACTTGCTGAAAGGCAGCCATTACTATCATAACTCATGCTACTTGTCATTCAGCGTTGGCATGTCAATGCATACAACTTGAAAGCAACACACTTTTGTAATGTTTTGGTCTCGGTGAGAGGTTAATTTGACTGTTAGAATTCTAAATTTAGTTGTGAATTGGTCTTGTCGCTAGAAATGTAAACTTGTCTTTAAAGATTTGAGAGTTTACCTGATTTGTCCTCAAACACTTGAGACTTAGCTTGGACTTTGACCTAAAAACTGTAAACCTGGTTTGAACTTGTCCTTAAAGACTTGAGCCTTGACATGAGTTTCTTTCGTTAAGACTTAAGGCTTTGACTCGTTCTCCAAGACTTAAGGATTGGCTTGGACTCATCTTTTAAAGACTTGAGCTTGATTTAAGATTTGTCCCTAAAGACTCAGTTTGGACCTGTTCTTAGAGACTTGGCTTGAAATCTTCCAAAAAAAACCTTGGCTTTGACTTCAACTTAATGTCCTGACACTTGACTTAGACTAGTGCTTTCAGACTAGAGATTTGGCTTGGATTTGTCCTTAAAAGACTTGAACATGACATAGATTTGTTGAGACTGGAGTTGGACTAGTCCACTCCTTAAAGACTTGAGAATTGACCTAAACCTATTTTAGAGAGACTTGGCTTGGACTTGTACTAAAAAACTTGAAAGCTTAACTTGGACTAGTTCTTATAGATTTGACACTTGGTCTTGACTCGCCCTTAGAGACTTTTCTAGTACAATGTGTAAACAACTTGTCACTTCACCTGTCCTTTCAGACTAGAGACTTGGTTTGGACTTGTCCTTAAAGACTTTAAACCTGACTGTCCAGAGGTTGCCTTTTGTCCAGGCCTTTGAATTAGCAGACTCCAACAGACTATTGTTCAAATTTAAATCTTCTAATAATTTGTGGAAATAATGTTTCCAGCAGTTCATATATGCAACAATGGATACATTGATCAAAACTATGCAAGCAGGAATTAAAGTGTTCTTTCAGTTTATTTTTCTCATCTGGCCATTTGTTATTTTGTGCACTTGAATCTATTTGTCTTTTTTCCTTTGTGTTGACTTTATTATTCCTGTCTGCGCGGCGCGACAGAAGGCAGGGAAGATGGAGCCACGAGCTCCTCACTCATTTTATTTCTCCGACTTGATGCTTTTATTGACTCAGCATCAGCAGCATCCCTCCTCGCAGAGCAGCCACTAAATCATGTACACTCCTTGCTTCATCCTTGTCACACACACTGGGAAGTCTGCATCTGTGTTTGGCTGTGATTGATCTTTATTTTATATGGCTGCTTTCTAAGAGTCTTTTTTGTGCTGCAATGTGCAGTTTGCCATTAGACAAGGAGTCTGAAATGAGAGTGTTGTCCTTAAATGTGATGTATGAAGGAAGATGAATATATAACTGCATGAAGACAAATTCAGACGTTTAAAATGAAAACAGAAACTAGAAAGTCAGCCCAAAATGATCAGTACACTTTTGCCCGTTATATTTTTAATATTACATCTCATTAGATAGAAAAACACTTTTCTTTAGCATACTTAGCATACCACCCATCTTCATATGTGTCGTGGTGCCATTTGTCCTCAGTTGGAAGTAGTGCGTTTTAGTGTGAGGTGTGTTTGATCTTTGGTGTCACTCTGTGCAGGGTTCCTGGACTGGGTCCCGAAAAAGATGCAGCGTGTGGGCTGCATGGAGCTGCTCAACACCGTCCAGAGGAGAGTCCAGCCCAAGTTTCACGTGTTCGGACACATTCATGAAGGTACTTGCATGTGCTTGTAAAACAGTAAAACACACACAATGCTGCAGTTGCAACAGAGACAAATGTGACGATCCACAGCCATTTAAAGCAAATAAACTATTTTCAACAAGAGGAGGTCTTAATCAAATGGACTTTTTTTCCAGTCATGCTTGTTTATTGATATAGTATTACATTGGAACTATAGAAACTAGAGGCCCAGGTAATGACACGTCCCTTCACAACATAGACATAAAGTGTCTCTTGTCAAGTGAATGGCGTGCCCTTAAAATCAGAAATGTTTTTAATCAATCAATACAACACGATGTATCAAACATTTATGCCGGTTTGCACAGCAGCAACACAAGGAAAGCAAAGGACTGGTAACAGTATATGTTCTGGTCCTATTTTCTTTAGTTATGCTATTTTACATCATTTTTAAACACAATTATTCCTATACATGACGCCAAAAAAGCTTTCCATAGTTTAATAATTATTTAAATGTTTACACATATAGCCATGGCCTGAACATTTGTTTTTTCTGGCAATATTTGGACTGTCAAATCATACTCATAAAATCAAAAGAAACAGACATTCAACCGAGTTCAGAAAACATTGAAATAATGTTTAAATAAATAATGATTACTATTTCACAAAAAGGACTTGCAAATAATCATAATGCTGATTTAGTGGTCTTTTAGTGAAGGAGTAAATCCTCCTCCCAGTGGAATTAGCCCCCTTGATTAATTTAAGTGGGAGTAGGATACAACTTCTCAACATGGCCACACATTTCTCCAAGTTCCTGTGTTTTAGTCAGAGATACTCTAAATATAAACTACCCCCTCTTTTGTTTACAGAGTACCATGTACACATTTTAAGGCTCACATAAATCCTAACGACCTAAATTCATGGGATGCAATATAATATTTAGCATCCAGGAATGGCCTCTTTAAAATTGCATTCTGAATGAGACAGATAGTTAACACCCCTGCTGCTACATCACTGTCTAATATTTTCTCATGTATCTTATAACCTAAACATTTACGAAAATAAATGTATCTACATCCTTGTTTTATACCTACTTACAGGTCCCATGTCATGCTTTTCCGGTTATTACCCGTCCCCTTGTGTGTTATGAAGTTTTTTATGCATGTAAACGGTCTGCAGAGTCATAAACCCTCAAAGTACACCCTGTAGCGAGTAAAACTCTAACACAGAAAATACCTGTCTATGCTGCCCCAGAACGCCTCGTTGGATATACGTCATTGTCCATTTGATTCTTCCGGGTACGCATGATGTCAACCGTACCCGGAACGAAATGGACCAATCCGTGGAGCTGTTACGTTACGTCCGCGGAGCCGTTACGTTAAGCCCCCGCTGATTGGTCCAAATTGACCAATCCACGGACTTCCTCACACACACACTCAGTGTAGGCAGCTCTGCTGATCTCTCCTCCCTGGCTGCAGGCTGATAACAGACAGTTGGGATTGTGGTGAAATACTCTCTGCAGACCCATTCTTACAGCGTTTATCAACCTTTTTCTTACTCAATATCAAGCCACACTTATTGTTTTTACTTCGGCTGTGACTTTGTGTGTGCTCAGGGTGAGTTTGGCTGTGTTTCGCTGTCGCTAAACAAGGAAACCACACCTCTACGGCAGAGTCCTGCATCGGGTCGGGTATCCGCGGGTACCCGACGGGTGACCCGCAAAAAAGGTGATTTGCGGGTGGTATTTTTTCAAACGCTTTTTTCCGGGTTCGGTTCTGGGTAAAACAAAGATGATGCGGGTCGGGTTGCGGGTGTTGCATAATAAATATATTTAAATAATAATAATTTAGTTTAATGTTTAAATCCTCAGACCTCTCCCCCGTATATATGCGGGTTCGACCGAGCATATTCATAACCTCTGCAGCGCATCTATCTGCTGCTGAGCGCGCCACATTCTGAATGGCTGAGGTGAAGCTCTCTAGCGGAGAATACAGC